GTACTAGTCCCACCTCAATAGAGAAGAAATCACATGTCCAACAGACTCAGCAATGTGGCTCATGAGGTCTCTAACAGCCTCTCCCCGCTCCACCCGCAGCCCACTCCCCATACTGCTTACACTCTAACCACACAAAGCTTTTGGCTGCTCTTCAGTCAGCTCTCTCCTGCCCCCTGCCTTGGCTCTTCCCACCACCTCTGTCTGCCCTTCCTTTTCACCTGACAGATCCCACCAGCCTTCAAAGTCACCCTACTGCCAACCTTCTCTGACTCACCCGCTGTGGATATAACAGTGGAAAAGAAAATTACATGGATTACTGCTGTTAGTTGTCATGAACTCAACCACATACCAATGCAACAAACAAGTGAAGGACAACCAAGCTTGAGACTAAGGGGTAGGGAGGTGTGTGAATCATTAAGGGTTTTCCAATCCTTGACAAGAAGTGAAACACAGTGTCAGAAGACCAGTCAAGAAGATTCTTCATGTCTTGGTCTGACCTTGAAGAAGACAATCAATTGAGACCCACAGAGTGACAATGACTATGGAGGAGATGGAAAAACCACATAGGGTTGTGGGACCAGCAGTTAGCATAATGGCTATGTTGCTGGACTCCCATGTAGTCGACCGCAGTTTGTGTCCCAGACCCGGTGGCTTAAAACTCACGCCAGGCGCACGTGCGTGTGTGCCCAAGATCCCGAGAGGAGAATGGAGGAGAAGGGATTGCGGCATGGCCATCCCCCCGGGGGGTGATTTCTCGCTTTCTGTCTCTCTGTCTCTGTCTGTCTGTCTGGCGAGTGCATGGGCCCTGTAGCGAAAATCTATCCAAAAAAAAAAAAAAAACCAAACAAACAAACAAAAAAACACAAAGGGTTGCAACAGAGATGCTCCTCGACTTGCAATGGGCTTGTGTCCTAACATGACCAGCATAAGTTGGACACATCATAAGTCGAAACACCTTTGGTACACTTGGCTTACTGAACATCCTAACTTGGCCGAGCCCACCTGAAATGTGCTGAAAATACTAACATTAGCCTGGAGTTGGGCAGGATCATCTAACACAAAGCCCACTATCAGGAGAGAATATTATACTGCATATTACTAGCCCAAGGAAAAGATGAAAATTCTAAATACAGTCTTCTGCTGAATATGTATCACTTTTGCACCCTCGTAAAGTTGAAGTAAGTGAACCATCATAAGGTGGGGACTGTCCATACAAGATTTGTGGGTAATTTAAGAGCTATTCAAGGAGAATTTGGAATATAAACTGAATTCAATTTAGGGCCGAAGTTAACAATCCCACATAAAATATGATTCCCTAAATGACTCAGTGTGGTGGGAGAACTGACAGCTCCCCCCAGTTCTCCCAGGGGGAAAGGCCGGATCAGAGTCCCTGGAAGCCTTCCCTGACCCATTGGTTTCTCCTCAGTTGCTCAAGGACGGCAACATCAACTTTGGTTGTTACTCCGTGTCTGTGGTAGAAGGGAGAGGACAGCCTGGAGCTGGGAGTTGGGTTTTCAGTTTCTCCTGGAACAGTATAGTAAATACAACTTACGGTGGGAAACCAGAAGCGCTCCTAACCAGTCTGGAGGAGTAGCAAAGAGGCTGTCTGAGCAAGCTTCCTACAGGAAGGAGGAATTAGCCAGTTAGGAGGAACAGAGAAGGGGAGTGGTGTTCAAGGTAGAAGGAACATGCACAGGGGAAGGGTCAGAGGCAAGGAAAGGGAGCCCCAGGTAGATTGGTAAGGAGGGGGGTAGGGAGAACGCCTAGAGAGAGACTATATTAGGGAAGTTGACAGGGTGCAAATCATGAAGGGCTCTACAGGCCATGTTTGGACACTCTCCCGAGGGCAACAGGAAGCCAATGAGGACTTCTAGCAGGGGGAGACGGGATCGGACTTGCTTGTCAAACACAGAGAAATCCTACTCCAAGCCTCATATTCAAAGAGCACCAGAAAGGTGCTAAGGTGCAGTCTCAGGGAGCCCTCCCCATCAGCTAGCTCTTAACTGGTAAAACTGGAGTAAGTCAGTTCAGCTGGGTGCCCTGCTCCCTTCTTTTCTTGCTCCTTCCTGTCAGGTGCTCATTCTTCCTGGTTGCCCCACAGCTGCCCAGGGCACCCAGGATTCTGCTCCCTGAGCCTGCAACAAGCTTCCATCCTCAGCCAGTTCCCTGCAGTTCACATGAGTATGTAATCACCTACTACCAGGAGTAAGGCACTGCACTGGGTCCTGTGGGAAAGTAAACACACACTGGTTCCTGTCCTGTAAGAAAAAGCCGCTTATTCTAGTCAAGTTCCCCACGGCCCTGTTTTCTAGTAGGGAATGCTAAGAAAGGGGCAAGCCCAAGCACTAGGCTGTCTTCATCTTCTTAGGCACGCACTTAGGTCCACGTCTTGTCCATTGCTCAGTTTCCTCATATATTCGGTTGTCAGAAAAGTCATAACGCATCTTTGCATAGAAAAACAAAGAAAAATGTCATGACTTTTCTGACAACCTAATAAAAATGGCAGCCATAAAAATAGATGATTTGTAAAAAAAAAAAAAAAAGAAAATTAATTACCATTTTTAAAAAATCATGTTTATTAGACAAAAATATTTCCAAGTATAGGGAACAAGGTGACGAAAATTGGGAATTATTAAGCTGCCAGATAGCTAAAGTTTTTCTCGAACTCTAAAAATCTCATGATTCTAACCTGAGGAATGAAGTATGATATTATGTTAATTTTTAAAAATTTATTTATTTTATAATCTTGCTTATATTACATTGAATCACATATAACTTTACACTGTACTACATTTCTTTTTCCAGAAGGAATATCCTATTATGTTAATTTTTTTATACTTATGAGGTAACATGAACTTTAAAAAAAAATTTTTTTTTTGGCGAGGTTTTCACTATAGGGCATGTGCACTCGCCAGACAGATAGAAAGAGACATAGAGACAGAAAGCGAGAAATCACCCCCCACAGGGGATGGTCACGCCGCAGAACCTTCTCCAAAATTCTCCTCTCGGGATCTTGGGCACGAACCTTCTCCAACATTCTCCTCTCGGGATCTTGGGCACGCACGCACACGCGCCCGGCGTGAGTTTTAAGCCACCGGGTCCAGGATGCGAACCGCGGTCAACTACATGGGAGTCCAGTGACATAGCCATTACACTAACTGCTGGTTCCCATGAACTTTAAAATTAAAAATTTTTTTTTTTTGCCATGGGGTATATGCTCTCACCAGAGAGAGAGGGGAAAGCAAGAAATCAGCCCCCTGGGGGGGGATGGCCATGCCTCAATCCCTTCTCCTCTATTCTCCTCCTGGGATTGTAGGCACGCATGTACACACACCCAGTGTGATCCAGGACCCAGCACCTTATACACCACGTGGGAACTCGGCACCTTAAACATCATGCCACCTGCTGGCCCTGGTAACATGGACATTTTAAAGGGAAATATCTGTAAACTAATAAGAAAGATTAATTGTGAAAATTCCTAAAGAAATTTGGAGAAATTAGAATTTTGACAATATACCTTAAATTACATTGGATGACCTTCTTAAAGGTTTTGTCCAGTGAACTTCCACCCCTAGAGTTTCTATCATTGTTTGTTTGTTTATTTGTTTAAGAGGCTTTTGCCTTAGGGTTTGTGCCCTTGTGGGTAGCAAGGGGGAAGGGACAGAGACAGTGAGAGGGAAAGTGAGAACTCTCCCACTAGGGGGATGGCCACAAGACAACCCCTTCTCCTCCATTCTCCTAGAATCTTGGGCATGCACACCCGTCCTGCATGTTTCAAGCCACCAGGTCCAGGACTTGAACTGTGGTCTGCCATGTGAGAGTTCAGTGACATAATCACTATGCCATCTGCAGGCTCATTGTTTATTTTTGTTTAAACTTATTTGTTCATTTCCTCCATGAACGAGAGAGAGGGAGAGGGAACGAGAGAGAACCCCCAACAGAGTCCTGATGCCATAATCTACGCCCAGCCTCAGCCATCCTCAGGTATGGGCACACACATGCCCTTCGTATTCACGCTGACCTCCAGACATGAACCTGGTACCCTCTCGTGGGGGGTCGGCCTTGCAGTGTTCAGTCTGCAGCTGTACCACCTTCCAGCCCCACCTGTCACTGTCCTTAAACCTCAGCAGACAACACACTTTGGTAGTGCCTCTTAGGGTGATCTATGTCTCAGACTATGGAAGAATTCACAGATTTAAGAGAGCAAGTGGATTGAAAAAGGCTTGTTCACTTTCACTTTCTAAAAGGAGGAAAGTGACCCATGCAGTTGCATCAGCCTTGAAGGGTGGGGGCTAGAGACTGGTTTTTTTTTTTTAGGTTTTCTCTGTAGGGTATGGTCACCAGAGAGGAAAAAGTGAGAGATCACCCCCCCCACCCTGAGACTGTGGCCACACCACAGTCCCTTCCCTTTCCCCCCATTCACCTTGTGGATTTGGAGCTCACATGCACCCAGCATGATCTGGGGGATGGCCACACCACAGTCCCTTCCCTTTCCCCCCGTTCACCTTGCAGATTTGGAGCTCACATGTACCCAGTATGATTTGGGGGATGGTCACACCACAATCCCTTCCCTTTCTCCCCATTCACCTTGTGGGATTTGGGGCATGCATGCACCCAGTGTGATTTTTCAAGCCACTTGAACAGAGGTCAGCCAGCCACGTGAGAATCCTGTGCCTCAACCACCACACCACTTGCTGGCCCCTGCTAGGGACTTTCAAAGTAAGGAGAATTCCGGGTGGGGTGAGTAAGGTGGTCCTGAGATAGCAGCCAGGTAGTCTTTCACATCTGGGTTGTTCAATTATCTTTGAGTGAGTCAGCCATCTGCAGTGACATCAAGCAGTCTCCCTTCCTTCCCTCCTTTCAGATGAAAATCTCCCTTCCTTACAAGGAATTCCCCACCAGGGCATGTCCCCTCCCACCAGACTGGTCAGATGAGGTTTGACCCTTTGGGGTTTCTTCCCAGCCCTGGCAAGGTATTCAAGGTTGCCTGGAGACCTTACCTTTCCTCCAGCAGAGCCCAAGAGACAAATATCCAAGGGGAGTCCCTAAAAAGAAGAAAATGTCTGAGGTATGTGGGGTGCTTTGAATGTGCCCCTCCCATTAACATGCTTAAGACATCTGGGAGGTCCTGAGTAGCCCTTTTTTTTTTTTTTTTGAGAGAGAGATTAGGGTGCATGCGCTCGCCAGACAGACAGAAAGAGACATAGAGACAGAAAGCGAGAAATCACCCCCCAGGAGGGATGGTCATGCCGCAATCCCTTCTCCTCCATTCTCCTCTAGGGATCTTGGGCACGCACGCACTCGCGCCCGGCGTGAGTTTTAAGTCACCGGGTCCGGGACTTGAGCTGCGGTCGACTACGTGGGAGTCCAGCGACATAGCCATTACACTAACTGCTGGTTCCCCTGAGTAGCCCTTTCAGCGCCTTCACTGCCATGGAAGCAGGCAATCCCCACCACAGACCTTACCCCAGAAGGTTTTATGGAACCCAGCCCAGCACCCTGGGGAGAGTCTTCCTCAGAGACCCCTACCCTTCCTTCTGACTGAGTTTAAATCTAACACCCCAGAGAGCTGATCCAAGCGGGAAAGCACAGACCACCCCCTTCCTAAGCCTCCCTTGGGGTCTCTGCTTGTGAGTGCCGTCCCTGTCAGCAGCCCTGACCTACATCAGAGCTGGCTTGGTAGAGGCTTGTGGGGAAGCACGGGTGGTATAAGAGAAAAAAAACAAGTTTTCCTCGTATTCATACATGCAACACAACACTTCTGTGACCAGATGTGTGGGGTATGTCCTCACACAAGCAGTTCTCCTGTGGACACCACGCATCCTCCATGTCAGTTCTGAACCTGCGGACCTGGAGACAGCTCAGTTCCATAAGACTCATCCTCACTCCTGCTTCTGGTGCCAATCACAAGCGGTCAGTTGTCATTTATGTTTCTGACCACCAGCAACAAATAGAGACTCCCACTAGCCTTCGGTAGGGTCCATCAATTTGCTGGGCTGGGCTCACAGACAGAATGCAAGGAAACACTTAGGTTTTCTGGTTTTCAATGTGTCACGAAGGACAGAGATGAACAGCCAGATGAGGAGATGCGTAGGGCGAGGTGTTGGTGTGGCGGGGCAGCAAGGCTTCCCTGCCCGATCCCGGCTCGCCCTGGGCCCAGCACCTCCATGCGTCAGCCATCAGAAGCTCGTCAAGCTTTACTCGAGTCATGGGTGTAGGCTGTCAAAAGCAAAAGCACACCAAAGACACCAGTTCTAAGACGGGCGAGCAGAAGTCATGATGGGAGGTGACGGGGGCTAAAATATGGAGCCAGAGTCTTGTATTAAGATGGACAAGAGAGCAGTGGTTCAGGGAAGAGGTGCCGGAGGAAAAAACCGAACTCGTGAGAGGAAAACAGGCATCTGTGTGAGGCGCCAGCTTCTTTCCACGCCAGGTGCCAGGGGGAAGATTTGCCTAGCCCGAGATACGGCCCTCAACGTGAGGAGGAAACCGGGGACCCGCAGTTACCCGAGGACCAGAGCCCTCACTGAGCCGGGGGAGAGCCAGCAAGACCGCTCGAGAGGCAGAAGCCCTCACTTCCACCCGCGGCCCCGCCTCCGAGGAAGCCGCTTCCGGCCGAGAGAGGGCGCCCGCGCACTCCCGCCGCAGGAAGGGCGGGTCAGCGCGCCTGCGCAGTGCGTCGGTCACAGGCTAGCTGCCGCAACCCCATCCTTACTTTCACAAGTGTTGGCCCAGAAAGAAGGAAGATGGTGCTGGATCTGGATTTGTTTCGGGTGGATAAAGGAGGGGACCCAGCCCTCATCCGAGAGACCCAAGAGAAGCGCTTCAAGGACCCGGGACTAGTGGACCAGCTGGTGAAGGCAGACAGCGAGTGGCGACGATGTAGGTACCGGGACGCAGGGGGCATCCCCTGATCCTAAACCCATTTCATCTCGAATCTGCTCACCGGTCCTGAGGCCACGCTGCCACACCTCGTCACCTCGTCTCAGGCTGCAGTGGCTCCGAGGCGTTCCCTATTCTCAAAAGCACAGTCCGGGAGTGTCCCCCAGCCCTCCGGCCCGGCGGTGCGAGGTCCCTTCCGCCCGTGCTCAGCGGGGATCTGGACTCGTGCTGCCGGGAAGGAGCATGGCGCATGCGCACCGAGAGCTGTCAAGCCTACCTGCCCTTTGGGTAGCCAGAGGAGAGCCAGGGAGGGAGGTTTGCGGGTTCCCCTTTCTGAATGCCTGCTTGCCTGTGGTGGCTCCCGATCTCTTTCTCATCCTCAGTAAGGCCAGAGTTGTCTCCTTCTGTTTTGATACGCTCAGAGACTCCTTTCTGAGACTGACATCTGTGGCATGATAGGAGGACTTCCCGCCAGTCGGAAGCTTTGAGTCTGGGGAGGCCACTCCTGGCTAACCCCTGAGCTTTTGGAAAGCACATCTCGCTCACCTTTGGGCATACCTTTAAGAATCAGGAAAATCTTTCCTGTGGTAGATCAGGCATGAGGGGAGTAGTGCCGTGAGGCAGGAAAAAGCTTGAAATTAGAGACTGTTTAATTGTGATTTGTGTACGTTTTCTGGGAAAGACATTGGCAGAGTTGAGCTCGAACCTGGAACTGATCCCGGCAACTTAATAAAGCTAAATACGTCTTTCATGGTTATAGAACTCTTAGCCTGTCAGTCTCTGCCTAGATTAACTGGACTGGTCACTGGCTGGATGCTGTCAAACACGTGATTCACTTTGCCTGATGCAATAGGTCTGCAACCAACTAAGAGCCAGGTTTATGGCTGCACAGTGCAGTCGTGGTCCAAGAGTGTGATAGATTTCTATGAGAGAAATAGATTTTTCTAAGTTATGAGAGTCTTGGGTGCCAAAAGATATATATAACATCTCAGGAAATAGGTTTAAAAGGGTGAGTCTGCTGGTTCTGTGACTCAGGCACTCTAATATAGTGTGTTTGTGAGTTTCCATGCTTGAATTTGAAGTTTTGAGTTGCATAGAAATTGAATTTTGCCACTTTCTTGTTTAGGATAAAACTAGATTGAGCACTATTCTACTGAATTAGAAGTCAGGAGTACCAGTCACTAGCCAGCTGCCTGAGTTGCCTTATGTGTACATAAACTAGCGTATTATGTACACATCTACAGAAAGTTTTTTCTCTATAACATATCCATCACCTTAAATAATAATGCTTATTTTTTATGATTAGAATATATATACATTTATATATTTCTCTTGATAGATTTAAACACTTGCTTCTCTTGGGTATATACCTAGAAGTAGAATTTGGATTTCATAGGGTGGGCATATGTTCAGATTTAGAGTAGATATTGTCATGGAGTTTTCAAAAGTGGTTGTAATTATTGATATTCGGCAATATCTGTTATCTGACCAGTAGTTATGGGATAAGTTTTTCAGGGGCGAGGATTGAGTTTTATTCATTCATATATCCCAGTACCTAGACTATACATATATACAGTGTCTGATTATATATTAATGCATATGTATGAGAAGTCTTCAAAAAGTTTATGAAAGATGTGTATTATGAAAAAGCTATGCATGGATTTCAAGATTTTGCACCAAAAGAAACTCTTTTTTCTTTTTTATGTTTATTTATTCCTTTCTTTCATGAGAGAAATAGAAGTACTCCTAACAGGGTCCTCACACTGTGATCACCTCCAGCCTCAGCCAGACCTGGTTCATGGGCACATGTGCCCAGTGCATTGAGGGAGGTCACAGGTCACAGATTCCTTGGAGCCCTCTGATGTGTACATCAACCTCATGGAGAATTGCATTATTATGGCTGCACCATTGTCTGGTCCCTAAGCTCATATTTTAATATAATTCCACTTTTCCATGTGATTCACTTTGTCTGTTGCAGTAGGTCTGCAGCCAAGAGCCAATTTTATGGATGCACAGTGCGAAGGCACTGCTCACATGTATAAACTTCACTTTTTTTTTTTTCTGAGACGTGAGTGCTCACTACAAAGAGACAGAGAAACAGAAAGTGAGATATCACCACCACCACCACCCCACCCCCCGAGGGGTATGGCCACGCCACAATCCCTTCTCCTCCATTCTCCTCTTGGGATCTTGGGCACGCACATGCACACACCCGGCATGAGTTTAAGCCACTGAGTCTGGGATTTGAACTGTGGTCGCTACATGGGAGTCCAGCGATGTAGCCATTATGCCATCTGCTGGTCTCAACCTCACATTCTTTTTTAAAATTTAAAAAAAAAAAAGTTTTTTTAAGAGAGATTTTTGCTATAGGGTGCATGCATGAGACAGAGGAACAGGAAGCAAGAAAATCATCCCCTGGGGAGATGGCCATGCTGCAATTCCTTCTTCATTCTCCTCTCAGGATTTTGGGTACACATGCACACATGCCTGGGGTGAGTTTCAAGCCAGCGGGTCTGGAACTCAAACTGCTGTCGACTACACAGGAGTCCAGTGACATACCATTCTGCCATCTGCTGGTCCCCCAATGATTTTTAAATTTTAAGTTGGCAAATTATAAGTATGTATTTTGGGGATACCGAGTAATATTATGGTTTATTAATATAATACAGAATAATTCAATCAAGCTATCTCTATAACATATCCATCATCTTAAATATTAATGCTTATTTTTTATGGTTAGAACATATGTACATTTATATATGTCTCCTGATAGATATAAACACTTGCTTCTCTTGGGTATATACCTAGAAGGAGAATTTGGATTTCATAGGGTGGGCTTATGTTCAGATTTAGTAGATATTGTCATGGAGTTTTCAAAAGTGGTTGTAATTATTGATATTCCCAAGGGCAATTTCTGAGTTCCAACTGTTTTACATTGTTGCCAGTACTTGGCAGAGGCATTGTTTTTCATTTTAGCCATTCTAGTGGATATAGTATGGTCTCATGGCTCTAATTTGTATTTTCCCAATGACCGAATGTATTGAGCATCTTTTCATAAGCTTGATGGCATTTGGAGAGCCTTTTTTTTTTTTTTTTTTT